ATGGTTTGGTTCGGTTTGGTAAAAATATAAAAGTTCGATGAAGTTCTGGTTCAAAAAATTATTTTTAAGTTCGGTTCAATTTCAGTTCAATTTCAAAAATCAGGGTTCGACCCATCACTAATATATATAAGAAAAAATAAACCAACTATAAAGAGTATATGAGTATACCTAATTAGTGCAAAATAAACAAATAGGGATGGTCGAAGAAAATGTGGTTACCATAACAATAAATATAAAACAAAATAAACAGTTGTATTATTATTGGTTTACCGGTTGTAAACATGAATTCCATTGAGTTACATTCAACGACCGATCACGTCCAAGTCTATTGTCTATAGATGATGATTATTAATTTGTAGTCATATGTGGTATATTTACGATCGATAAGAAGGCAGGACACAACCTTCGGTCGTTACTTATTCATCGTCGATTGCGGCCATAATAGAATGGATAGGATAAATATATGCCAGGCAAAATTTGAGTTTCGATGCAGTGTGTGTGAGTTACTTGTGATTTAATTATTTTTATTATTTTCTACCCCCACCACCCATATATGCACGCACTGTTAAAATAAATGGTTTGTTTAATTTTCATTTTTTTAATCAATATCAGATGCAATGATTAGGAGCAAAATAATCAATCTCCTTCAAGGTTTCCACAAGGACCACTAGGACACTAAAGTAAGGTATACCTTAAAGCCCTTACCTAAAGCCATAGAATACTATCTAGGTAAGGGCTTTTTGTATAATCTACAATATTTTTGAAACACACAAAAAATAATTTTATCAATTTAAAAAGAAGTTATTATATCATAATATGATATTAAATATTTAAAATTTTTATTTATTTTAATTATTGTGATTTTAATTATTTAAGGCTTATTAGGTTAAATAGATTTCAATAATATTTATGGTATTTATGGTAAACATTTCACAACAAAATTAACAAAATACGAGTTTTTTTTATAATTTACAAGTAAAATTTTTACCAACCGTACATTCGAATATAATAAATATATAATTTTTAATAATAAAAAAAACCTCATGAGAAAAATAATATTTTTAACACAATAAAATAAAATAATTTTTAATACTTAGATAAATGTAAATTAAACGTATAGTTGTCATTCGGCCAACCATTGGCGCAACCAGGTCTTAAATATTGGGGGAGGGCTGAAGCCCTACAGATAAATTTAGTCAATGTGAGCCATTGAGGGCTTCGCCCCCCCTACCCCCCCCCCCATTACCGCAGCCACAGAAAAATAATTATTAATTGAAATAAAAACAATCAATACAAAATAAACAATACTACATTATTAAATACATGTACCTACTTCTATGTAGTATGTTTTACATAAAATATGACATAACACCACTGCAATACTCCACCGTCATCTGTCACATTTATTAGATAACAATATTATTATTAATTATGTAGGATTGTAGGAATTACAAAATAAACTATAATAATAATATTTTATATTTATACAATTTACTTTTGAATAATTCTCTGTGTCATATACTCATATTATTTAGTATGTATCTCACTATCCCATGCTTAAATTATCATTCAATTTTAAATAATCAAAAAAAATTGGGCAGCTATAATAAATTTTGGGGCTAAGCCCCCTAAGTCCCTCCCTAGTTGCGCCAATGCGGCCAACATTGCCAATCGTCACAGCAATCCTGTGGATTGAAAGATTGCTTGACCGATAAATGACTTGTACTGATTGGTCAACCATGCTAACACATTCGTAGTCTCTGGACTTATAACTTTTATACTTACACTCCGAACGGTTCGTACGTAAAGATAATTATGATCTGCATATACTGTTAATCCCCCCCAGTTTTTCTATCAAATTTTATGGATCAATTCCATTACGATAAATTTAATTTTTATTGAACTTATGAACTACAGTTCCCTCCCCCAAAAAAAATAAAATAAAATAAAAAAATATTAAACTTAGTTGTGTCTACGATTAGTTGATCGGAAATAAATAAATACAAAAACAAATAGTTCAATGATTTAACACAATTATATGTGGCTACTGTAGTGGAATATAATATCTACTTTGATCAACCAAATGACGACGATTAGTATTTTATAATTATTATTATTGTATATTTTACAATAATGATAATACCGAACTGTGGGATGTGCTTGTAAGACTTTAACAGAACAGATATTACGAAAAAACAATTTTCAAATGCTCATTTTAATACAATTTAATGGACCAGCCGAAATAATTAATAATTTAATGGTCTTCGGCAGAACGTGATATCGGACACATTGGCAGATTTAAAGGTTCAAATGAAGTCAGCAAATCCGAAAGAGGGGCCTCAAAATAAATGTATCAGTAATATTCTTAGTCCCGTTTTACAAAGCTGCTCGCTACACTCGCATTTCCACGATAAGAAAATGGAAAATAATACATTAAAAAAAACGTGATGCAGCGAAATTGACAATAAATCATTGTTCATATACTCCTATAGTATTCATACTCAGAAATTATATAGAATTCCATAATCAATGTTAATAGTACTTCTAACTATATCTAAATTATTTTTTTATTAATAAAAATGGTAATTGTAAACTATATCTATTACAGTTTGTGTTATAATTTTTTTTTTTACAATTTAGGAAGGGGCCCCGACGGTGTTTACCGACTAAACGACCGTTAAATCCGCCACTGATCGGACACAAACAAAATCTAGGTATGTGTTATACGCATGCATAATATGCTGTAATAAACTTATATACTTGTAATAATAAACGTTTAATTATTAAATTTATAACTCGTACACATCAGTTGCAGAGACGCACTCGGATTTTTTTTCGCTTGCATGGTAATCAATTAATAGTACTAATTAATTACACCTACCTATGGCTACAATATTCTTTTTAATTTGTGTTACTCGAAATTTATTTCTTAAAATATTTAATTAATTTATTAGTTATGTAAAGTATTCACTTTTTTCTTACATATATGGATGCTATAACGACGTCAGCACGGTTAATACGGCTAACGCCGTAGGACTAAACGTCTATACACACCCATCGATTGGCGCCAAACAAAAGTTAAGTGATTACCATACAGCAGTCATATTAAAAAAACGGATGACGAACACCTGACTTCATGTAAACATAGCGTTGAGTTCCAAAACACCTATGAAAACAAAACAGACTCGCACGGGGTGGATTTATGGGAAGAGGCATCGTGGCGATCACCTCCCTTAAAATTGTTTTTCATCAGATTAATTTAATATTTTTGATATAGGTATAAATGCATACATATATAATAGTAATAATATTCCTATTCGCTCTCCCCTCTTAAACAAGCTCGAATCCACCCCAGGACACGAATTTGATCTTCGGATAGGTTGATGTTAAATTATGTGAATTATCCTTTAAAAGGTCGTTCCACCGCTACATCTCCGGAATCCAGATAATTTAAAGTCCGGATGAACAACTGAAATGTTTTATTGGCACAAAACCATGCTGATTATTTGACTTTTTGAGTACATATGATTTACTAAATATCATTCAACCTATACCAAGAACCGTATAAACAGAAATAAGTTGCGTAACAATAATGTATATTGACAATGATTTAGGAACGTATAATATCAATCACAGTAATTTTTTATTTTTTTTTTTTTATTGAATAAAAACAATTGGTAAAAATTCTAAACCTATATAATGAAAATGTGTTACCATACAGTATTAAAATTTTAAAATTATACCTGTACTGTGATCAATTTTTTTATTTTTGAAATTTTTTATTTAGTTTTTTAATATCCTATAAGAATTATATTTAGTCAACAATATCATAAGCGTGACTTAAGTTTAACCTCAGCCTAAATAATTAAATATCTTGCAGTCATAAATAATAACTAGTAATTTTGGAAAAATTCCGATTTCAGAAGCATTTTTTAACGTATATTTTTTCAGTATTTAGTGCACAATTATTGCATTCATATTTTATAGTCCTTTAATGTATTCATAACCTTATGAAAACTGCAGTGGCTCACTGGCAGCCATTGTTGTACAATAGCTAAAATTATCTAGATAATTCAAATCTTTATCTTATCTAGATAAAAAATAAAATTGACTTCTAATTTTCATCGAGATAACTCACATAGTATGTAACTAATAATTAATAACTATTGTACAATATTATCATTCAATGTAAAATAATTAAATAAGTGACTAAATTAGAAATCTTATTTGTAGTACTTTACTTGCAAAATAATGATTCTAAAATAATTTTACACGGCATTTGTTATTATTTATGACTTTATAGCATGGCCCATGCTGAACACGCTACCAGAATAGTTGCGACACCATTTAAATTATATTGTTTTAATTTAAAAATAAAAACACATTCTGTTCATTCGATCAAGTGCTATTAGCGCGTTTGTACGTAATCAGACAGTAGTGAGTGTGCCTAAGACTCATTTATTTTTTTCGTCTACGTATTGTTTTACTGTACATTAAGCCTCCTTATTGCGCCTATGGTCTAGCTATGGATGAAGCATATCGCACTGAAGTCGCGCACAGGGTCCCTAGAAAAAAAAAACGGCAACTCGATGATATTAAGAACGCAATAAAAAAAAAAGCAATAATCAAATTCCATTGTAGAGGAACATTCGTATCGGTTTGTTTTGCTGAACGAGAATTATCGTGTTCGAATTATATATCAGATTCAAACGAAACGGAGACGTGTGCCGTATTAATTAGTTTTCAATAATTTTTGTTTCTACGTAGTCGCCGTTCTTTGCTGATCGTTCTGCAACTTAACGCGCATACTATCATCGTTCCTCTGTCGCCCGTACATTTTAGGTTATAAATTTTTCCCTCCAAAATGTCGCTTATCTTTGAATAACATACGATCGTAACAACAAACAGGAATCAAAATGATCGGAGTTCAACGTTCTAGTGCGAAATCCTCGTCAACGTTTTAGATCGCAAAGTGTTTTGTCAGAAGAAGTAAAAGGAAAATGGAAAACGATTCGCCAAATTTGTTCGACAGCGAACCGATGACGGTGCAGTTGTCGGTTCCCGAAAAATCCACCGACGACGTCCTGGCCGAAATCCTAGAAGATGTACGCGGAGACGTAAACGAAGAAAATGATGTCGTCGACGGCACGATCGCGGACGGGGTTCGAGACGCTGTCGAATATCACACGGATGATGATGATGATGAAGATGATGATGAAAACCATGATGTCAACGACCGCAGCGCTGCGGACCAAGAGTTAGGTGATGACCAATCTGTTGACCAGTTGACCGAAACGGAACAAACTGATGGTTCACTGAATACCCAGGCAAAAAACGTGCACAAAGGATTACCTCCTGGCCGAGTGAAGCTCATAATGAAAATGGATCCCGACGTTAACATAGTCGCAGGGGATGCTGTGTATATACTTACAAAAGCAACAGTAAGTAACACCTATAGTTAACTTACGGATTATTATTCGGTAGATTTTAAGCACGTGAAATGTAAAATTATTGTTCTCAGGAAAGTTTTGTTGGACTGATAGTGCAACACTGTCACAAAGCAATGGTTGCTTCTAATAAAAAAACACTAAAAAAAAAACATATTGAAGCTGTGATAGAAGATAATGTACCTTTTGAATTCTTAGAAGGTGCATTAGATTGGTAACTATTAAATTTATAATTATATAAGCTCTTCATTTTTAATTATTGTATATTATGTATTGAAATAAAAATATGTACTCTAAATTTGTTTGCTGAATTAATAACGATTTATTAACACCTAGCCTTTTTTTTTAGTTTCATTGTGTATATTTGATTATTGATTACAGTGTATATGTTATTTTTGAATGAAAAAAAAATATATTACCATTTGGAAATGGTAGTCTTGAATCAATATTAAGATATAATTTATAAGTACAACAAAAAATATATAAATATATATAATAATAAATAATACAACACATAGGTAAACAGAAATAATTTTTGTTTTAATCACAATTTTAAGCCATAACAATAATATGCGACAATTAAATTAATGTACATAATAATTAAACTAAACTAAAATAAATAATATACTTTTTTAATACAAGCACAGGTATACACAGAAATAGTGGATTGAAAACCAAAAATACTTTGAGCCTGATTATATTTAAGGAAGACACAAAATTATTAATTATGTTAAAAAATGATATTCCAATAAAACAAAAATTAACAAACAAATAAAACCAATTTTACAGTGAGAAAAAATGAAAAAGCGAAAAATCATGAATTTAGTGCTTAAGTGAATAAATTGTATTGCTTATGATTCTTATGTTTTGTACAATTTTAGTTTAACTCTTAAATTATTTTAATGAAAATGTATAAATGTTATTTAGAATGACTAAACAGTGTCTACCTTAACAATATATATACCTTAAGAACAAAGTGATTGAATAAAGTAATATTTAAAATCATTGGTCATTATATCTTGGAAAAAGAACAGAATTTGCATATTATTTTATATGCAATTATAACTAATAACAGAAATTAAATATATATAATGCACAATTACACAATGTAATTTCTTCATCGGTCAAAATCTTAAATTTCAAATTTCTTGGTTACAGTAGTCATATTAATTTAGAATTCAAGTCAAAGTTTAATTAATTTATATAATTTTAGGGAAACTGCCAATAATCAATTGGTATCTAAACAGTCTATAGTAACAAAAATATCACATTTATTAAAAGCAAATAATAAATCATAAGGCTTCACAATAACATTTAAAAAAAAATAACTCAAGTAATATTTTAAAAAATATTCACAAAATACTTAATCATCCATATTAATGTATATAATTATAGTTAAATTAGTTTAATTTATGTTAAAAAAAATAATCCAATACTCACCAACATTTTAAAAATCTATAAATTAAAATGGTATGGAATAAAAATATATAACTTAATCTCAGTAAATCTTGCTTGTGAGTATGAAATTTTAGAAATGAAATCTAATGATATTTTATCAATAATGATGATGTTAAATATTATATATGTATAAACATCACTCTAAATAAGGTTACATAACTGATAACACAAAAATTACAAATTTAATTGATTGAAGGTAAAATATGAACAATGGCGTAATTGAGGAAAAACATAGGGAACCAAAAAAAAATTACAGAAACCTAATATCCATTTATCATTCCTTCTCATCCACTATCACACCACCTAAAAATTATACAAACAAAACTAAACATACAAAACAAAATAAAATATGCGGTAGCAAAAAAATATATTATTTAAAGATTATACCTTTTAAATATTTTAATTCTACATAAAAATGTCTGATAAAAAAAAAATACTAAATTTATCACCTCTGTAAGGCCGTTCCCATACCTCCTTACTATTACACCATTGTAAGTAAATAAAATAATATGTAACTTGCAAAAGTAACTTCATCAAGTTAGATCAGTTCTTAAAATTTACTGTTTGTGAAACCTTATAATTTTCTCCCATTAAAATGATCTGAAGGTTGAAGTAATAATATCCATTAATACATCTAATTTATTTACGTCAAAATTAACCACAGCCTTTTTTTTTTTTTAAAAACAAATAGTATTTTATAATTTGGCACAATTAAATAATTTTAGTAATATGGTTTTCACACTCATTGGATAATATTGTTATTGCTAACCTAGTAATTGTTGAAATATATTTAATATTTATTGAAGGCAATGTTAATAAAAAAAATAAAAATAAAATGTTATATCATTGATTTTTTCTAAGTTTCAATTATCTATAGTATTTTAAATTTTAAAATACATTTTATTGCTTTAGTATCAATAATCAATATATATTACTTTAATTAACAATGATTATTGTGGAATGCCATCTATATTCCTAATTATTATAATATTCAATAATCAATAATATAATTTGACTTAAAAATACAATTTTTAATAGTATTATGAAGTTATTGGCAGAGGCAGATTGGCCCACCGGGAATTCGGGTGTTTTTCCATTGGACTGGACTGCTACGTAGACTTGGTCATAATTTGACATCATTAACAATGATCATGCACCAATCTATTAACCATTTTCCCACTCTGAAATGTTTTTCCAATCTGCCCTTGATTATAATTCAAGTATAGTTAAAAATTTAAAATAATCGTATATTTATTTTATATAACAGTATAACACATGGTTGTCCTGATTGTATGTTATAAAGTGGATGTAGTTTAATGATTAAACAACTTATAATTCTAATAACATACCATTTACAAGACCCCAAGTATATTTAATTTAAAATATAAAAAGTTGGAGTGACAATGAGTGCACTTATAAGTTAGTCTTTGGTAAGGGTGCAAGCTATTAAAGTCCCACTATAATGTTTATCACGAAATGAACACCTCGGGGTTAATATAGTATGTAAAATATTTACATTTATGTTTAGTTATTCATTGTGGTTGACTTTAACGTAAAACAATAAATATGGAGTTAATGCAGAATTCTTGGACGATTTGGATTCTAAAATTTGTGTCAATTGTGCAACAGATATTGTTCTTACTGTTTCATCATCACATTCTAACCAAACACTGTCACCACTTTCTGAATTGTCTAATATGCGTAATCCACAACATTCTAGACTGCGACACAGTCGTCCAATGGAAGAAACTTTCCCTGAATCTATTGAATCACTTGATGGACTATTAGATGTCCCTGAAGATGAAGAAGTTTTTGGTGATATTTTTAAAAATCGAAAGAGACCATTTGATATAGATGACTTTTTGTAGTTTGCTGGCAAAGTACCATTGGGCGTAACAGAAAGGCTACCAGTTTTACGTCGATCACGAGGACAATTGATATATTCTTCAAGATTATCTTGAGCTTTCACATATGCAACATAATGCCCAGATGCAATTGTAGCCCCCAAATGCATTATTATAGCATACAACTGGTAGCTATGTGCTCGAGTTTGCTGTTGTGAATTCAGAGATAAACACTCTTCACAAAAACACTCAAGCGTTAAAGGTGTTGGCATGTGCTCGTTTACTTTTGACACAACAGCTCTAAAAAATTTATATATTTTAATATTAATATTGATTACTAAAATTTCTATATTACCTATAGTTGGTACAAAAACGCTTTAAATGTAATGTAAGTAATCGAGGTAAACTTTCATATCCAACACTTCTTTTAGCTTCGTTATATCGACAACATTGTTCACACCAATATTTATCAGTGTCTTGTAGATATTCTTCAGTGACAATTGCAGAATGATATAATTTGTTAACACTATCGTAATCTGAAATGAACATTAAATAAAATGTAATTTTATATTTGTAGATAAAAACATAAGTGTAGAATTTAATACATTTCACAGCCAAAAGTATAATAAAAAATATTTATTAGCAACTGATATCACTATTAACTGATGACTATTGACAACTATTATACTCTATTTAAGTTGAGAATACACCAAGTGGTAGATGATAACACATCATAACTGCACATGCTTCCAATAACATACCCATAACTCAACCCTACCGCTTAACTACCATCCGATGTTGTACATATGTACACCAGTGTATTCTGAATGGAAATGGGTCGATAGGCTGACAACTATCAAGCAGACAGTTCACTGGGCCAAGAAAATACAATATACAATTTATAAAATGTTTACACTAAACATAATGTTTTTATACTTGTGTTTATCAAATTCACTATGTAATCTAATAGACTGACTAAAGCAAAACACCACAAAAACCTGTTAATATTTATTAATTTCGATAAATGCTATATCTTTTGTATCCTATACACACTTGCAGTTGCAACAGCTATGTACTCAGGGTTATCAGATTATCCAAACCTACAATAACAATTATTATAATTATTATTTTCTACATTTTTAATTAATGAGTTTATAGAGTATATTTCTTATACAGTGAATTCAATAAGCACAAATTAAGAACATAGTGAATAATGTAAAATTGTATTTTATTATATTTTGTCGATCCAGTGGGCGTCAGCCTATTGGTTATCAGCCTCATATACTGTCCGCCAAATGGTTGTCAACCCAATGTCATAATACCATTCTTTACTTAGATAAAGTATAGTTTTAGTTGTATTCTATCTTCTAGTCGCTATAATTTAAATTAAAAAAATAACTAATAACAAGTTAAAAAGAATAAAAACAACCAATTTAAATAATTAATTAATAAATAAAAATTAATATGAATATACAACTAACCATACGGGTTGAATTCATACTCAGGTGATATATCTCCATTTGATAAACCATTAATAGGAACACATATATCGCAAAAACTTTCTTTTCGTTCTGTAACAAATTCACATTCTAAACATGTGGTTCGAAGTAGAGAAACACCTTGAAAATCATCGAACATTGATGTACTACTACTACTACTGCTACTGCCACTAGGAATACTCTCAGTTTCATCAGATTGAGCAGCATTTGCAGTTCCATTAACAACATACATTTGTTTGTCATCTAAAATAATTTAAGTGGTAAATTCTTCTCTATCTTACATAGTTTTAAGAGTAAAAAATTGTGCTTACCAACAAAATTTTCATTTTCTGGTAACATCTTATCATTAGCGATAGTAACACTAGGCGGAAGGCTGCCATTGACTGGTCGTGTTTTACTGTTAGATGCAATTTTTAATGATTTTCTTACTTGACCCGAAAACTTTTTCAATTTATTAGGTGCAGGTTGAATAACTGGTGGAGTAGGCGCAACAAAGCAATTTACTTGGGCAGAATGCTGCATCACTAATTTACATCCTTCTCTAATATTGTCCAACAAACATACAAGAAGTTCATGAGCATCATGTTGTTGATTGCCTTCAAATATCGGGTTCACATCTCTTTATGTAACAAAACAACATTAAAATTTAATAATGATTCATATTTTAGTAATATTAATACTTTTTACTTTACCTTAATGACTGCAAAAATACTTCTGGTTGATATGGATCTGAACTATCTTTAAGCTCAGAATTATGTAACGCTTCAAATACTTGGTGAAGACGTTCGGTAACTTGTATAATTTTCAGGTCATTCATACTTACATTTAATGAAGATTGAAAGTTCCACATTTTGCTACTAACAGAACTCGTACTTCGTCCGAGTGAAGAGCATTTTCCCTATTACCAAGAAAAAAAAATGTCAAAAACAAATTCTATCTAAATATAGTGATCTACACATGAGTACTTTAAGTCCATTTGTCGACCTTCCAGTGATCTCTTGTAATTCAGTAATTAGATGATGTAGATTATGTAAAAATGAAGGTGCAAATCTTAATGTGTAAAGAACGCTATTTAGAAAACAGGTATTGCCAAGATTACACAAAGTTGCCACTCCAGGAGTTCCATTGCTCTCACTGTCACAAGAACAATTGATTTGTTGCTGCTGCTGCTGCTGTTGTATTTGTTGTTGTTGCTTGATGTGCCGGATAACTTTAAATGAAATAAATACCTCTTAAATTATTTTCAACCACGTTTACATTTCAATGCAAGTAAAAATATCGTTGAAAAGGAATAAACTACTCGATTAATATTAAAATAACATAAATAAAACAAATTAATGCCTACTCAAACACTAGTAATTATTTTTAATTAAATTAAATAAAATAATGTTTTTTTTTTTTTAAAGAAGAAACAAAACCTTAAACTCTGTCAAAAAAAATGTATCTGTACATAGTAGATCAAGTTTTTATTCTAAAGCCCTTACAGAAACTCATCCAATATATATATAAATGATAAAATATTAGTAATTTATAATAAAACTATATAAATAAATTATTAAAAACTACTAGAACATATTGTTATAAACATTGCAAATAATTTTAGTAAAAAAAAAAAAACTGACTAACTTTAAGTTTAAAATATATCACCTGGTAAACTGTCATGCCATCCATCCTTCTAATATAAGCTATATATTGGATTCATATTGGAGATTAATTTATCAATTTCATCAATTTTGAAAATAATCATCATAATAGACATATTGAATTAAAAACCCAATAAATTTATTACTAATAAATTTAATTTAAATGATATAAAAAAATTAGTTATTATTATTAAATATTTTAGCAAAATAAAAATAAAATCATAATTTCATAGAAAAATGAATTGACTTTGTCAATAGCTATATTATACTAATTTGGATTTAAAACATTTAAAACCAAATAATTTATTAAATATAATATAACTCTACATTTTTTTAACAAAATATTATATTAATTAATGGTTTTATTTTTTGATTCTCAATAGATGTAATTATATTTTAAAATATAATTAAGTTTATTATGTAATTAAACTAATAACTTAATTAAAATTATATTATTTTCTTATAACCACATAACACTATGAAGATTTAGTATTTTACCATATGCAACAAAAAATATCTACTAAAATATATGTAAGTAAATAGTTCATGTAATACATGGGAAAGTTTTTAAATAGTTATAAGTAAAGGATTTTCTATTAAGACTTTAACAGAAAATAAGTATAAATAAAAAAATACTAAATGGGATTTTTAATAAGTTTATTTATTAAAAATAAAAATATTTACTATCCAATCCACAAAATTATAAGATAAGTTTTTAGATATCACATGATCATTTAATAAATTATCAATAATTAAAAATATTATTGGAATTTAAATAATAAACTATATTTAATTAAATTATAATATTGAATTTTATAAGAAATGCTTAATATCTAGATGGAAATTACAACTATTTTTGACTATCACTAATACTAAGAAATGATGGAAATAAAATATTTCAATTATTAATAACTATTGATCTTTTTTGTCATCAATAAATTCTTTTTCATCTTCATGACCACCACCGTCATCAACTTTATCAACAGGTTCATTAAATGCTTGTTTTACATAACTATAAATAATTAATTGTACAATAATAACAGCAAATATAACCGATATAGCAATAACTTTATATCCTTGGATGTTCAAAATTTGACCGAGAAAATATTTCATGGTGAAAAATCCAACAAACGGAAGAGTAAACATAAGAAAACTATAACCTAATAAAAACCACATTACGTGGCTTTCAAAATCGGGTTCCATAGTTAAGACTTATGATCCACTTACAAAAATGTAATAATACAGACTAAATGAACAATTATTAATTATTAACTAATAAGATAAATGACTGAACGTGAACAATTGTAAGAAATACCAATTCAAAGCAAATTAAAATAAAATTATGATTTAAAATTTACAAAACTTGATTGGAAAAACTTCAGTTACCAGGCTGATCAAGCGGTGATGCCATCGGATTAAGTTGGGAGCGTGCATAGGATTTAGATTGTAGTTGCCTGGATGCTGATAAACACAACTTCTTGCGTGGTGGCTGTTCAGCTGTCTCTGCTGACGATAAAACTGTCATTTTTCTTAACCCTAAAATAAAAATGATTAGTTAATGAAAAAAAATCAATCGAAACCACAGAAAAATAATTTTTCTAGAAATAATAATAAATTTATAACTAATCTTTTTATAAATATTTTTTTCTTTACAATATAGGTATAAAAATAAGGCATCAGTAGGTATAGTATTAACGTAAAAGTTGTAGTTTTTTTTTAAATACATGACTGAACTTTTCAGGTTAAATGAATTTCAAAGCTACATGTATGTATTATGTTCAAGAAATCAATTAATTTGACTTATTTTAAAATATATCGGCATGAACAGTTTTGTAGATATATAATACAACTAAAATATGCCCATTCAGCATTAGTATAGCACTCAAAATTAACCCATCAAGTCTTTCAGACAGCAGTGAACCGCTCAAAACATTTGAGTACCATACTCAGAAGAAGCCTATCTGAAGTGCATTCATAGACAAACGAATACAATGATCAAAGGAACGTTTATGTTTATTGAAAAAGACCATAATTGCAGATGCGTTCAGAAGACCACATATGTAACAGATGATGGTGTCGGAAAAGCCTGACGAACAAGGCCTAGAGACGGAATTGGACAAAAAGTACACCGCCCCGATAGTCGTACTACAAGGAGCAGAGAAATGGCTTCAGGCTAGCGAACACCGCCCAAACACGATAAGCAGTACCGGGTGGTTTGCCGCTGTCGCAGTCGGTTACACTCACCAATCGGACATAGGAGATTTCATGGAAATGACGTGCAAGCATAGAATAAGTCCACGGTCGATACGCACTACAGGGATCGTTTGATCCGTATACGTCGGACGGCGGCCGGGACGAACGTGAGCGCGGGCACAAAAGTCTACCGCGTTTCCGGTTGCCCTACTGCGGTGCGTGCGCGTGGAGCTTGCGGTTTCGTTCTCGCGTCCGGAATTCGACGAACGGGGCCGACGGGGCTACGAGCAGTGCGGATTACCACGGGCGCAGCGACATCACGGGTCGGTCCACCATTTTGTCGAATGTGTTAACAGCACCGCCAAGATGAGTCGGGAGTGTGACGCACGGCGCGCGTCGGCCGCGCGGGCGGGGACAGCGCCCGTGGAAGAGAAACAACTCAGAGTTTTCGCTAACTGTCCAGATCCCGTCAGCCTACCGGTGCTCGATTTTCGCAGACCAGCCGGTAGTTTCGTCACCGTTTTTCGCGAACCTTTGACTGTGATTTTACGCAGACCTTTCGCCGGCCCAGACACCGCTTAGACCGCGAGCGCCGCTTATCACGAAACATTTTACTCTTCCACGGTTAATCATCGTTCCCTCCCACCACTACCCGTCACGGCGCGATCGCAGTTCTTAGGTTATATTACGTTTGTTTATCATACAATAAATATTATCCTCTTTCCTCTGGTGAGTGTTCGAGGGACGTTTTCATTTTCGAATTTAACGTTTCCACGCGTATCCTTAAGGTATGTATTTCCTTATTGACTTATGTAAGGCAGCTCTAATCCGTCGGCCTCCGCGATCGTATTAATATCGACGGACCGTCGGCCGAGTCAACGGATTGAACCGGATTAAAATTCCCTACCGTGTTATTATTTTATGGCCCGACGTGTTGTAGATGCCGGAGGCGTCCGCTAAAAAATCCAGCAAATCGGCCGCAAAGGTCAAAACCACTGAGAAAGTCGTAGAGTCGGCCGACAAGGTGAAGAAGGTAGTCAAACAAAAGAGACGCCAGAAGAGGCCTTATGGACGTTTGTATGCCAGAGCCGTGTTCACAGGTTTCCGCAGAGGACTCCGTAACCAACATGAAAATACTGCTCTGCTCAAAGTAGACGGATGTGATTCCAAGTCTGACTCGTGGTTCTATGTTGGAAAACGTGTCGCTTATGTATACAGGGTAAGTATTATTTTTTTTTTTATATCGAATGAATCGAATTTACCTTTAATTTTTGTTGGTTTCAAAATTCAATATATAAACATTTAGGTACCATAGTTTATTTACTAGGTGCTCGTAAAGTACTTCCAATTTGCAAACAAATTTGTCTATATTTATTTAAATTGTTTTAACAGTTTTATAAAATAAGTATAATTTAAACGTTCTGATGAATATTTATACTTGTTTGTTGTTTGATTAGGCTAAAAGATTAGTTTCTGTACCTGGACGCCCAAAGAAGAAGTCCAAGGTCCGTGCTATTTGGGGCAAGGTAACCCGTCCTCATGGTGCCACTGGATCAGTACGAGCTAAATTTAAGACCAACCTTCCTGCTAAAGCTATGGGTCACCGCGTCAGGATTGTAAGTTTTTTTTTTTAACTTAAATGATTCTAAATTATGAATTATAGTTATTTCTATTCATATACAAGTGATTAACTAATTTTTGAGAGGAAAACATTTTTTTATTTATGAATTTGTATTATAATATAATGAATACATTATACACCAAAGTATTTTGGCTAACTACAAAAATTTTAACTTAAAAATCTGTATCTGTAGTATTCCATTAAGGTCTTTTTGAGTATTTTGATACCTTTTTAAAACGTAAAGTATCTTGAGCATAATATTCTGGTAGCAAATTAATGTATACAAGTATCTGTATGTCTTAACTATATTCAGTCAAATTCTGGATTTTATATATTTTTGAATCCATATGCTAATATATGTTTTATATTTTTGTTTCAGATGTTGTATCCTTCTCGTATATAAGCTCTTGTAACACAATTGACAATTTTAAGTTTAAAAAAAAAATAAAACAAAAAAAATTGTATAATTTTGTATACGTATTTATTTGCACAATTTATTTATGTTCCAACAAATCTTAATTCTAAGGTATAAATGTATAAATTGGACAATCTTTCCAACTTACTATTTTACTGGCCAATGGACTATAGCCATGTTTGACCAAAATAGCTGATAATCTTAAGGTTTCTGGTGCTGTGATGCCATTTTGACGTGTTACAACTACTGTCCACATGTGTAATGAGTCAAATCCTTTTTGTCCACAAAATGCCAGTATCATATGTTTATCTGGGTCTGCATCAATAACTGTTGCTTTTATATCTCCTTGGGAAAAACATAAATTATAATTTAGCTTCTGAATATTAAAAAAATTATTTTGATCTAGCAGCAAGTACTATACCTCCTAATGGACTTAAAATTGACCAAATTCCTACTTCTTCTTCCTTGGTTGGAAGTTCTATTACAGCGCTATGATCCCCAATCAAAAGTGGATTATCAATGTTCCATACTTGCCGTAACATGGTTTTATTGTATCGCAAAAGTTCACCATGTATACAAACACTATCTTCAATGAATTCTTCATTTTGTGATTCAATAACCATAATAGCCAAAAACCATTTCCCTAGCAACTAAAGTTGGAAGTTGAACAAATATCCATATAAAATATTTTTAATTATCAGCTAAAGTATTTACCTGGTCAATGTTGACTTTTGTAAATGGTTTAATATTTGGACAAGGCTTCAACTCTTGATCATCTTGAATCGGTCCACCTAATATGCATACTAAGATAGTAAACTTAAATGTTATAAATGTTAAATGCCCCATTTCTGTTGTGTAGTCTAGAAACGAATACAAGGAACGCAATTCAGTATGTGGTGAGTTAGACACTGTGAAACTGAGTGTAGGTGGTTTGAACTTTTCAAGATAAAATTTGACTCTTAAGTAGGTTAAATTTTTTCATCTTGTTTTATAAAAATTATCAAAAATTTGCACTTCCTGTGAAAATAAGCTGATAGCCAATTTTTTTCATGACATACTATCTATATATGTATGTGTGTAATTTAATGAGTTGTGTGATTGTGACTATGTAATTTAATTCTATTTTAGTATATATCCTTTAACCATTTAAATAAAATATTTAGTGTATTTAATTTTAAACTGATTTCATCTAAATCTTTATACAATTTTACTTAATTAAATATACATAAAATTATAATTCTAAAATTCAATTATATTTTGCCTCATTGGTATTTCATTATATATATATATATATATTAAATGAAACAAAAATTGTCTACATCCATATCATCTAATTTTCAGAGAAGTTGCCTTTATTTTAAATACATTGTAATAATTAAAAAAATTACTTGTATTGCACTGTAAGATGAATGAAATATTGGGATGCTTAACATAAGCTCTTAACTATTAATTTAGATTTATCGTTTCCTTTAATGTCTATTCTTTGCTTAAACTATTTATCCTTTAAAATTCTATCAATTTTACAATTTTGTAAATGTGATGTAAAAAAATACTTGCTAATTAATTAACTGAAACCAACTGTTGCTCTACTTTCTACATAATATTATTTACAAACCATACTTATATGTAAATTAAAGTTTAGAAATAATTACCATTTAGTTATAAGAATAATTCTTACTAAAATTAATAATAACATAAATCACAACTGAGAAATATACCATAAATTACCATGATTTAAGATTTATTGTATTGATAATCAACTTAAGAAATTAATAATAACTAGAGCCTGGATTTATATGCATTTACATATTTGTACTAAGTGTATGCACGTCTATGGAGGTTTGAGATGTCTACGATTCATATCTCATTAAATTTAAACACCAAATTTTATATTACATATTTTGCATATTTGTTCATAAGTGCATATAACATGCATATTTAATGAGTATTTAATAAATTAACTATTTTAATTTACAGTAAATTTTGTAATAATAGACATGATAGGTATTAAGTTTAAAAAATATTATTTTAAAAGTTTTGATTTTTTTTTTAAGTTTTCTATTAGTTTTCTGACAGTAGGTAAATTCAAATGATCTAAAATATTTATTTTTAGTTGTTTTGTTTTTATTAGTATACTCGTTTTTAAATTTTAGATAGATTTTAAATATGAAGCAGTGGATATTATCATATTTTTTGGTTTTGATAAAAGAAAATAAAATAAATATTAATTAATATACGCATTTTTAATTTATTCTCAAAGTAAAAATTCTAATCTTGTTGACAGCAAACTCGTCAATAACAGCTTATGGGTTATCCATAAATTTTCCACTTATTTTCCTTTCTAAATATTATTGGTTTTTTTCTAGAAAAAATCTGGGTAGGCTCGGGCCTACCTACTGGCTACGCCCCTGTTAATTCCCTCCCTCTTTTGTAAAAATAACTATTTCTGCAAACATATCATAGGTAAAAAGTAATTTTCAATATAAAATGTTTACATTCTGCCAAAATAGTATTATGCAAATATATTAGATTTAAATAATTATAGAAAACCATTTAAATTTAATTAATAATTAAATAATAATACTAGGATTAATTAACTACAATGTTTAATTATTAATCTTGGCTAAAAACTAGAAAAAAGTATTAATATTAGGATTGGTGAAAACAAGTATAAATAAGTAAAAAATTATAAGAATTATTTTAACACAATCAAACTTTATTAATTTATATCAATAATTGAATTCCAAAAGAATGTGATCCAAAGTAATGAAAAGTTAGATTTAAACAGTGGTAACTAACATCTGGCCAGGTTATTAATTTATAATTGAGGTTAAGTATTTGGTACACAATTTTGTACTTACCACTTAAGTATAATTGATTTTAAGTAGACAAAATTGTATATAATTTACTTGAAATATTTTTTGTTATACCCTTGTATTCGACTAGTATTAATCAACTAAAAATACATAATGTTGATCTTACTATTGTATATATTTTTATCAATTACTATGTATTCTCCTACATTTGTGTTTCATGTTAGTAATATGTTTAAAGTTGGAAATTACTATGTGTGTATATTTCCAAAATATTTATACATTTAAATCCAACTACACACCCATCATCCATAAAATGTTCACCTTGTTGCATGGCAACTAGAAATTACCAATACCTGCAGCAACTGTAATTCAAAGTGAAAAATTGCTTTTGTTATATTACTAAAATACTTAAATTACACACTTAGTAGTTTCTGCATCATATAGAAACCCCTTAATACATAATTTAAATATATTTAATAGCCATAGTTCATCTTATCTAATAAAAAATATTAAAACTTAATAAATAATACATTTTCTTTTTCATTGATCAGAATTTACGAATATATTTTTAATAAATAATTAGAAATGGAATGTTAAAATAAAAATGATCACTCTAACAACAAAAAACAAATGATAAAATAATTTGGTAATTGAATTTTTCATACGTCCTCTGGATTGAACATTCCCTACAAATTAAATATAATAATTATTTTATCTGTTTAACTAAATATACTAATAAAAACCAGACAATAATACATACTTTAGCACGACGCAAAATTGAATCTTTACTAGCGTCATAAGGATGATCCTTGGACGGAATTTCAAGAACTGCTGGAATTGGCTGTGTGTGACCATCAATTACATGACGAATTATTTCGGCCACCTAATATAAAAAATACAATTACATTTTTCTGTATAACACATTACTTATTGATATAACATCACTTACATTTTGGTTTATGAGTATAATGTCAATGTCATCCCGTTTAATAAATCCTTTGAAGCACTCTTCAATATCAATCACCGCCGTGTCTACATATCAATTAAAATATGATAAAATAATATAACAAATGCAAGCACAATGCGATAATTACTTTTGTCAACAACCATGAAGTTTGAGTGTCTATGTTTGTTGATTTCGCCAATTCCGCCCAATAAGAAACCAACACAGGTGTCCTATAATTAAAATGAATTTTATAAATATAGGCGAAATGCATTTTTAGTTTTTGAAATAAAACCAAAAATATTGACATGGTAATATCGAAAAGGGCGGGTCTCCTCGGTATTTTAATTGTTATACACAATAATTACCATCAACGTATGTGAATATACTTTATACTCACTTCGTCTCCAATCACGGCCAAAAGTTTACCCTTTACTGCTGAGTGTAGAGCCATTATTAATATTTTACTCGTTTAGTTCGGTCGGTTAAGAATGGATTGTTACGTATCTTCAGAGTTATTAATAAATTGTAATCTACACTCAGCGTGAGCTGTGAAGACAACGCTCTTATCATGTTTTCATTTTAAAATGATAACAAAACGAAAAAACATATGTTTTAATTACACCGATCATGGCCTTAGAAGCACTATATATATATGTATGTATGTATATCTTTAATCGTGTTCAGAAGATATCTTTTAAGACCGTGTTGCCGATTATGACAAGGTTTAAAACCTCATGATTGTAATATAATATCACCTAATACTATAAATTATCATTTATTTGGTATTACGGTTTGGGAAATTCGTTGCTCGTTAGGTTTAAGATTGTGTAGGCCATATTCACAAATGTATAAAACAATATTATATTTATTATTATATTTTATTTATCTGTGTAGGTACCCAATTGTATAATATAATTTGCATTCGCTGTTAATGAGGTTCATTTTTTGTCCCCCCCAATTCTTCTAGTCAATCAAACGAGTAGTGATGGTTTGGCCGATTTTTTTAAATTACAAATTGTAACTACCACGAATATTAATAATTTTTACATAGTTTGAATGAAAATTATTTAATAGTAAAATATTTTAAACGACTTATTACGTATAACTATCATCAGAGCAGTGGCGGCGCGAAATATTTTACTTCATGAGTCCTGTTACGATTTTACCCACCCACACACCCACCTAAAAAGAAATTTAAAGGTAGCTTGTAAAAAGAGATCCCCCTCTCTAAGATGCATATTTACGAATACCCACTCGATACCCAATGGTCAATACCCACCCACTAACTTGAGTCTAGGAACTCAAAAATCTGCCGTCACTGTATTCAGGGTAGTGCCTTTTTGAAATTCACCTAATAGTTACCCATTTTATCAAAACGGTGCATAAAAAATTAAACATTAAACCACCAAAACAGCATTCGTCAATATAATGATTGAAGAAATATGTATATTTGGTATTCAAATATTTAAAATAAAAATTTCATACAACATTGAATATATATTTAATTTTACCTGTTGAATATGAAATATATAATAAAAATGTATTAACATTCTAAAACAAATATTTAAAAATTAATGAAAATTTAAAATTGTATAAACATAGGTATTATACTTTATTGAGTGTTTAAAAATGTAAAACTAATGTATATTCAAAATTTATCAAATATTAAAATTTTTTTAAAATATTTATTGAATAAATATATCAATGCTGTGTTGGTACAAACCATTAATAACATAACTGATTATAATTAAGTACCAATATTCATAATCGACAGTACGATACATATGATCTGACTTATTGGAACAATGTTAAAATAAATGAATAAAGAATAAATATGTGAATTAACTGTATAATGCAAGTATCATTAAATTAAAACTATAAAAGAGGTATCAACATTACATTTATATAATAATCAATGGATATTTATTATCATCAGAGATAATATCTAATATATTATATTAAACAATTGTTTCATACATCTGTGATTATCATTGAGTAATACAGTTAACCAGTGCTCAATTTGGCAAAATTAAAAACATCTGTAATCTCTATTCTATGATTAAAGAGTTTATTTAAAAAAAAAAAAGAGCGACCCCAAAACTTGTTAAGCGTTATAATGTAATAATATTATGAGATGGTAAAATTTCTGAAAATTAGTTTAGATACTCTGGTTACACCCTCAGGACGAGCACTGCAGTAACATTAAAATTCTAAATATTAGCTAGAGTACTATAAGTTTAATTGTCTACATAGTAATTGATACACATCTATAAAACCATTTATTTTTTTAAGAAACATAAAATTGATGTTTTAAAAATTACAAATTTTATTTTATAATCAAATTGATGAGTAAAAACTTGTTCATAAAACATGATAATGGATACCTAATAATAATTATTTTAAACAGTGTTAGCTTTAAGCTCATAAAATACTATATATTCAATATATATATACCTTTGTAAGTATAAGTATTCTAAAATTTTTAAAATTTATACTTCCTATAATTATTCAAAATTAAAATTTGAAATGTTTGTATATTAGTGATAACATCAGTCAATAATAATAAGTTGTTCAAAGATAACAAAATAAATAAAATTACAGTAAGTGCTTATAATATATGGTATAGAAGTCATAATGAATAACTATCACTCTAATATAATTCTATTGTTTTTATTAATATTAAAACCATCTGCTTTTGGAATTAAATATTATTAAATTATAGCAGCTTGCACAATAAAAAAAAAATAATAATAATAGTACATTCACACAAAATTATATAGTTTCAAGTACAATTTTTATATTAGGTATGATCAGGTTTAATGAATTATCAATAATGTTCATAATTTAATATAGCATATAATGAATAATGTAATAAATATTCAAAAAGTAGGATTGTTACTTTACTCGAGGAAAAAGTTGTGAACTGCTGATTTTTAATTTTATATATATATTAATAAGCCAATTCTTGTAAATTTGTCATAAAAAATAAAAAATGAAAATTGCAGAAAGATATTTTTTGTTAAACAAATGGTTTAAATGTGTTTGCTGTGTTTAAATCTACATTAAGAAATAACTCCACAAAAATAAAAATTTTTTAAAGTCACACAAGTATAGATTTAATTAATTATATAAACAAGAACTTATAATATAAGGTGTTTAAATTAAGATAAACTCAAAGACTAACACTTAAGAATAATTACATATTAATTTTACACAGAAATAACTAAAATGGCTTATATTCATTTCACAAATTTTTGAAATATATTCAAATACCATAAATAAATGGATTAAAAAAGTGTAATCTACAAATAAATTAAATTACCTCAATTCATGTTTGTATGTATTATTTAAAATAATGTTAAAAATATTAAAACAGTATTTATAATAAAATATACAAAATATTGAGGTAATTTAAATTTGTCACAAAAATTGTTTTTAATCATAATTAAAAGTTCCATTATCCTGATGCCTTTCATAAACATCAACATCTGCATCCTCTTCTTCGTCTGCTGCTCTTACTTCACCTTCTTCCACTCTATCTTCATATTCCATTTGATCATTATCAGGTTGTAACAACTTGTCTATTTGACTTTCAACCATATTCCTCTTCTTTCCTAAAATATTGCTCAAGTATGTACGTGTCTTTTCCAATTTTTTTTCAGTCTTTTCATTATGTATTTTAGGCAAGTAAAATACAGAAGGATCATATTCCGTTTTGATAAAATTCATAGTACAATTTATTTGACGTTCAAATACTTCAAAATTTCTTACCAACCCCATTTTAATTTCTATATTTTTTATGTCTCTTTGCTGTTGTTTTCTTTGCATAAATAATTCTCGTTTTTTCAGGACTAATGATTCTTTTTCTTTCAATGCTTCTTCTTCGAGTCTCCTCTCGATTTTAGCTTTTTTCTCTTCTTTATCTTTTAATTGAGTTTCTTCTTTCTTAAACTTTTGTAAAGTACCTAATAATGATCCAAACATACGTCTATTTCGTTCTTTTGTTACTTGATCACCTGATTGAGCAGCTAAAACTTCAGTACGAGATTTCATGATTTTAGATGACAACATGACCTGAGATTGAAGTGCTTTTTTTGGTGCAGGATCATCATCCAAATCATCGTCTTCTTCATACTCTTCTTTTATGGGTTTTTGGTGTTCATCTGCTACAATACTCCCTAAGCGATCTTTGGCCGATATCCTAGCTGAATTATGTCCATTTTTAAAATTTTTCGCTGTTTCATTGTTGTTAACAAAAACCTTACGGTTTTGACTGTCATTTCTAAAAGACTTATTGTTGTCACGTAATCTCTTGACGTCTTTTTTTAACTGATCTCTAAATTGAGGTTTTTGGTCTCCTTGCTGCAATCTCTTATTGAATTTACCATGGTTATGTTCATCAAACACATCACGGCCAGTAATTTTTTTCAACGTTTCGTGAACGTCATTTAACCCTTGGCGTTTTTTTACCAAGTGTTCTTGCAAACGATCCAAAAGTGTAGTCATGTTTAAACTTGCAATCCCGTTAACAACCAAGCAGATAACTGAATTGCTTTTTCGTGCCGTACCAATACAATTTCAATAAATATTAATTACCTGTTAGACCACGGTCGTTATACCAAAAACATTAAATAAAAACAAAAGAAACTAATATTTAATTGCACAATTCAAAAGTCGAAAAAAACATAAATTGACTAGACGTCTGTCAAAATGAAAACAAACTCGTGAAACTCTTTGAATATTTCGTCTGTTATCTTAATATTGTCAGAGCGTGTGTTTATCTATTATAGTTTTGGTACCAGGTAACTTGGTATTATTATAAAATATGTTTAGTAATGATTTCTAGATTAAGAGGATAATATTTGAAATATCCCGCGTTTAAATATAAATCATTTACTTCTAAAAATGAATTCCTTCTACCATCACTTCATGAATGCAATTTCAGATATAAACACCAAATACAACAAAATTAACATTGGCTTATAGAAAATACACGGAATTTTACGATTAAGCACCTCTGACATTTTAAGTCCCATTGTTTCTATAATTGCCCTCACCTTTTAGCTGTAGATTTTTAAAACAGCATTATGATTTATGTAATCAAATCAAATTATTTATTATTATATTCAATCATTTTTTCTCGATTATAATTTTATTTTTCCATAATTTGACGAGATTTTCTTTGCCTATTACTTCGTATTTTTATGCATGTTTCAGGCTGAATATTTTTTAGAATATCAATAAAGTAGTAATTATTTAGATGACTAGCGATAAATAGAATATTTAATTTAGAGTGAAATGCCTCATAAATTTTGGTTGTCCGATTTGTCGTTGATGCATATTCAGCCCAACGATTTGGAAGTAAACTTGCATCTGTTGTATTGTAAGTTTTCGATATGTATTCTATAATTTTATTAATTCGTTCATCTTCAATAAGTGAAATGGATAATAAATAATTTTGAAAGAATTCTTGTACCTCAACTGGATGTAAGAAAGGCAACCCATTAATATACTTTAAAAGTTGACTAGATTTGAAATCGTATTGTTCTAAGACTTTCAGAGAATAATTAGAGGGGACACAATTCACCTGGCTGTATATTAACATTTTATTTATGGGACGCAATTCACCGAACCCGGAAATATCTATGACCGGTGTGGCGTCATCATTATTTGTACTATAATCATTACGATTCAAAGAAACGACAAAAAATAAGATTTTTATTTATCATCAAAGCCACGTTTAAAGGGGGGCAGGGGGGCAATTGCCCCGAGATGGCAAATCTTTTGATTTTTGATGGGATGGCAAATTTTTGAGGATCAACATAAAATAAAAAATATATAATTATATAATTTTAGTATGACTGTATAACTATATACATAAACTATATAATAAACTATATTATTTCTATTACGTATATAATATTTTTTATTCTGAATTGTAATTTTCTTAAGGGTGGCATAATTTAATTTGCCCCGGAGCGGCTACATAGCTTAACGCGACACTTTTAATCATCAATTACTTTAAATTGTTATATAATTAACTATATAGTATATACTGACGGTCTATAACTTATCCGTATTATTCATATTTTATTTTCGTATGGACTAAAATTCATAATTTATAATTTTGAGAAAATAAATTTGGAATTTAAATAAGGTATTATAAAGGATTTATATACGCATATGAAGTCTATAACATACTTTATTTAATATTGTGAAATATCTTCTAAAATCCATAAATTTAAACTTGTGACATTTCTCGACTATTTCTATACATCGTATTGTCGAACCCTATGTTCACGGTCGCCAACCTATGACCGAGATTCGGAAATCAGAGTACATAGGATTTTGTGAAGGAATTTTTAGTAAGTATAAAAAAAAAAAAAACAATTATAATTAGATGGTATTGGTATAATTTATTTGTGGAAAAAGCTCGGAAGGGCGTCAAACTCCATCCAAGAAAAAAAATAAAATAAATAAATAACACAAAACTCACAAAACAGAACAGAAATATAATAAGTGTCCGCCGTTCACTATGACATCTTTGTATAATGTTTAACTATACCAGCCAATATATGAAATAATAATAATTCTACATACATTTTATACATAATTGTTTCATTATGGTTCGGACCATAACGCCGCGGGAGGTAATGAACTGCTCTGCTCCATGTTGAGTTTATAAAACAACACTAATAATAAAAAAATGTATGTTGAGGTTCCGGCTTGCTCATCGGACGGAGAGTGATATTTCTAAATCATTACGAGCCCTCCGATTATCATGGGACTTTGCCCAATGATATTCTTAATTATTATAATCAAACGAGTGCAGTACGTTGTGCCTTGTAAGAATGTCGGCGACAAGAGGTGTACACTACATATACAATACAAATACAGAACAAGAGTATATTTGTAGCGTATATTTGTTATATTTGTATATTTGTACAATAAATACCACGCCAAAGAAAACATCTCGGATAAATCAATCTAACCACGAACAAATTCATACTCTAAGTAATTTTATAATATTATTTAACATTATATTATACTAAGAGTATTATATTATTATTAGGAAATTAAGCACCATATTCTTGAGAAGTTGTTCTTTTTACGAAACTAAACGAACTAAAAAAAAAAATTACCGGATAAAGAATTGAAAATTTTACAAGCGTTTGAATTTTTTATTTTGACAAAACCAAAGGTTTCCGCGATTTCGATTTTACGATGTTAGCTATTTCATTATAACTCAAAAAATAATAATACGATGGTGTTAAGATTTGTATAGAACACTTATAATATGACCATTTTATAAGTATGTTGTAAATTTCAAAAATTTCGAAAATTTTTATAGTATTTATAGGTATTTGAAATTACCTAAAATGAGGATGAAGACTATGCTTTTTTATTTAGGTTGATCTTGTATTATTTATTAATTAATAATTAGTTAATTTTAGCCTTATTTCTGGTCAAATATGAAATAGTAAATACGTCTAGGTACACTGCAGACTCGAAAAATAAATTAAAATTGAATAAAAAAACATACTATGTACCTTTCTCGTTTCACTCAAAATCCAAAAAGCATAAAAATTTAAATATTTATAAATATTAAATAGTATAAACTAAGTCAAAATATTGATCCACCAAAATTAGTGAGGTATTCCATTCGTGATTTGTATCCGTTTTAATATTTTTTGTTTTTTTTTCGTTAGTGACCGTTGTATATGCTTGTATCTCCTATACAGTCGTGTAATTATCTAAAATTGTAAAATTGTACTACGTTATTTTTTAATGTAGGTCCAAACTGCTCATTTGTTTCATCTTCGCCGGTACTAAAAGTATTGACACCGCAACATACATATAAAAATATCACAACTGATAGTAATACACCAGTTAAAAATATTTCAATATGCGAAAGTAGTCCTGCATCATTAAAATAACTATTTCTCCTACTACGAAAAATTGGATGTCAAATTTAATTAGTCTTCCAAATGTAAATACTGCACCAATAAAAAAAACCCGTAATAATACAAGCAACCCGGAAAATTTGATTGTTCAAAATAATAAGTTAAGAAAAAAGTTAATCAAAATGAGAAGATTATTAAAACAAAAGCGTTATATTATTCAAAGTCTTAAGGATTCAAAAAAAAAGCAACAAACTAAAAAAATTTAATTAAAAAATTTTTTTGAAATGACTAAATTTCCATCAGTGAACTCAAAGGCTCTATCAACAATGCAAATACTACACAAAACACGTAAACCATGGACACCTGACGAAAAAAAAGTTGCTCTATCTATTTATTATAAATCACCTTCAATATATAAATACATGCGCCGAAACGGCATTATATTACCTGGAGAAAGTACTGTTCGTCATTGGCTAAATTCTATTAAATATTCCACTGGATTTTCCGTCGAGTACATGGAGCAAATTAAATCAAAGGTTTCCGAATTCAATTATTCAGAAAAAAAATATGTTATCCTTCTTGACGAGATATCAATCATAAAATGTATAGAATACAACAAAACTTTAGATGTTATTGAAGGATTTGAAGATATAGGAACTTTAGGCCGAAGTGACAAAATTTTTTCTCATGCTTTGGTCGTTATGCAAATTGGAAGTTTCCTCTTTGTTATTTTTTTACGGGAAGTGGTATTAAAGGCGATAATCTGGTTCTAATTATAAAAGAGTGCGTACAAAAAATTATTAATTTGGGTTTGATGGCCACTAGCATAGTTTGTGATCAAGGTATTCAAAATCGTCGAATGTACACACTTCTTAAATGGACCGAAGTAAATCCACACACAATAATATCTGGACAAAAAATATTTTTGATTTATGATTTACCTCACCTTATAAAAAGTGTACGAAACAATTTACTGAACGGTGATTTCAAATTTGATAATACCAAACTTGCATCTATGACAGGGCCGTATTTGAGGGGAGGGGCAAGTGTCCCTTGTTGCCCGGGGTGGCAAATTTTTTAGCTTATTAGGGGGGCGGAAATTTTATATTGAAATATTATGGCGTATCTAATAACAAAAAAAATGGTTTTTATTTTTATTTCAATACAATTATTAGAAAAACTATTTTGATAATTATTATTTAATATTAAACTAGCTTCTGTGTGCCTCGCTCCGGGTGAAATTCACTTAATATTACTTTAGTAATTAATTATTAATATTAATAAAATTATATTAATAATATCAATTAATAATATTCAAAACACTATTATGTAGATACAATGTATCATGCAATACTACCACGGTTACTACTCGTGATAATTATTACTATTGATAATATACGGTTGGAAAATTAATACACCTTCGGCGTCAAAGGCGTTCGCTATCTAGGAGACACCCACCTAATTGTTTTCTTAAAAATATCACGGTACCATACTTACGGTACTATACTTACAATCGATATATGGTGTCAAAAACCATTATAATATATATATATATATATATATATAAAACATTATGTTTATAAAAAAATCAAATAGCAGAGAACAAACTGCAGTGCATTTTAAAATAATCAAGAATAATAATAGTACCAGCAGAAAGTTATGTGTTTCCTCATCAACTGTTAGAGGTTAAATATGTGTATTATTTTTATATTTAATAGATGGGCAAAGAATTTAAAAAAAAGTATATAAATATGCATATAGATCTTGATATTTTAATTACAGAATAAAATATATATTTATGTTTACAAAAACATTATAAGTATCTTCTCTAGTTAC